CACAAGTCTCCTGTACAACAGAAAAAAAAAGGCAAACAAAATATACTCAAGTCTTAAGGAGTTCTAACAAAATCTGCCATGATATCCTTTCTTAACCTAAAAGGGCTCTCAAATTTAGCATGTTGCATTATCACCATTCTTTGTAATAAAACGAACATGGCAAACATGTTAAGAAAGCAATGCAACCTGAAATTTAACAGGTGGCGATCGTTTAAAAGAAAGTTTGATTGAATAACATGACTATTTGATAGATTCTTCTATAAGCTTGTAGATATCCAAAAAATTGAAATCTGTCCAATAATCATCAGGCAGTCAACACTTGAACATCTCTTACATATTGACACTAGTGGCCCAGAGACACTAAAAACAAGGAAAATGGGACAAGATTTTGTCTATATAGGCCTTTTCTCACAGGACTGCATATGAACCGTGTCTCCTGGGAATAAGTCAGCTTGCACTGTGGAAAGTAGGCCAAGGACAACCTTGGTATCGATGGCCCTGGGTTTTAATCACTGACTCACTGTTTATCAATGGCGCAACTGCAGGAAGATTGCATAACTCCTCTGGACCCATTTCTTTATCCATAAGTAAAACTAATCTTTCTTGCTTAGGGTTGGTGTGAGTGTTGCAGGAGATACGTGAAAAGACTTGACCACAATGACAGTGTGAGCTGCTTATGAACGTCAGTCTCACTTGTATGCTTTCCTCATGATGGTTTCTTTGCTTTCAAGAAAACTGTTTAGATACAGAGGAAATCCACTCCTTCACTCATAGAAACATTGTGTGGCTTGTTGGCAAAGGGAGAGTAGGGCCTGAGTTTCAGCCTGGTGGCTGGGGGTCCTCTTTTTGGAACTCACACAAAGGTGCTACATGAGATGATAAAGACCCAGCATGTATTTCAGAAATGGCCAACTTGGACTTTGCCAATGTGAGCTTGTATTTGATAGGGAAATAGAAAAAGAGCAAAAATCGCAATACATACAATTACTGATATTCTAGAGAAGACATTATAGGATGGAACAAGACAGATTTAAATCAGATAATTTGGGTGTCTCAGGCTCTGTGTTTAAAGGATGAGGGAGAGACTTTGAGGGATGGGTGTTCTAGGAAAAGGAGTGTTTAATTACTTGTCTACTTCTTGGGTTATTTTAATTGAATGTCTATTGTTATGGTTTGTATCTAGATGTCCCCCAAGGCCTCATGCTTTTAGATGGAGCTTTGTTGGAGGGAGCTGAATTGAGAGTGTATGATTAATTCTTGGTTCAGTGCTGGGATTAAGGGTAGCTGACTGTTGGATCAGCCCACTGACTGGATTGGCACACCCAAATCCCAGCAACCTAGATAAGATAAAAGGGGCATAAGAGGCACATTTCCCCCTCTTTTGCTCTCATTGGTTGCTTTTGGTATCTTCTACCACCATGAACTGTTGTCCCTATTCTGTGTGTCACCCTGCTTTGGAGCTAGCTGATTATTGACTGAAACCTCCACAAACTGTGAGCTAAATAAATCTTACGTCCTTGAACCTTGGGTGTTGGGTATTTTGTCCCAGCCATGAGGAAAATAAGACATATACTAAGTGCTATCTATTGTTCCAGTACTGAAGATAAAGTAATGAATAAAGTAGAAAAGATCTCTTTCCTGATAATTCTAATATTCTCATCAGGGAGAGAGATGATAATCATTGAACTAGAAAAGTCAGAGGTAGCAAGATTGCTTCGGAGAAGAGCAGAAGCAAGGTAGTGGTGGTGGTGTGGTGCGAGGCTGCTACTTTAGGATGGAGAGTGGGAGGCCTCTCCGAGAGGTGTCATTTAAGCTAGGATATGAATGGCAACTGTGGGAAGCTCATGCTAATCAAATCAGGCAGCGAGGAGCTGCTGCAAAAGTCTTAAGCAGGGAATGAACTCTGTGCTTTTGAGCTAGCCAAGAAAGCTGGTGTGGTTGAGGTGCAGCAGTGAAAAAAGGGATGGAAGGTGAGATGCAAAATGAACAAGTGCCAAAACCATGTGAGCCCAGAAACCTGCTGGGAGTCTGATATAGCAGAAGAGCTTGTGTTAGGTGAGAAGTGATTTGGGAGATAAGCGAGAACTAGATTCTGACAATTCCTATACAGAAGTCTAAGAGTACCCCCCAATTCTGATTAATGTTTAAATCATTTTTGCAACATTTTCATGTATTTATCATGATGGTAGTATCTGTTAGATGAAATATTTAACTAACTTGTGTTTTAGAGGAGGAGAATACATCTTACAGAATACTAACAGGTAAGAGGTAGCACAGGATGTCAAGTTGGTAACAAATACATCAGACTTTTTTTTTATAAGCATAAAGAACCTTTTGTCTCAGTTTCAGAGGCAGACATTGCTGATTGTCTCCCTTATATCCATGATTTCCCCTTCATTCTTATGAACAGAACTTCATATCTGACTGCCAATGAGTCCAACTACATACACCTGCCTCTTGCCTGCCTTGCATCCAGGGATTGTCACATGACTTGGTCTTAGCTCTGCAGATTGAGGCAGAAGCACCTGGGAGGATGTGATTTCCTGAACAGAAGGCAGAGCCTGCATGGCCTTTGTCCTGTTCCCTGTTGTGCTTCTTCTTTCTTCCTGCATTTGTAATTATTTGTTGACTCAATGTTTGGAGTCTTGTAATTCCTTTAAATGTGGAACAAAATATATTTAGTGGGAAACCACCATCATATGACGCATAGGGCTAAGTTGATGCTTGTTCTGGTCTGGAGGTACACTGTGGATGTAAAACTATAAGGTGTTGTATCAAAAGTTAGTCTTAGAACTCATTATACTGAAATTTATACTCTGGATACGTAATGAAAGTTTTTGTCTTATTTTGATTTTTAAAAATCAGTTGTTTTGTAAAATATTTTGTACACTGTTCTTTAACATATACTGACACTAATTAAAAGTATAACAATTCTTTATGTTCCATGAGGAATACAGAACTGATGAACCAAGACTTTGTTTTGAGGAAGCTCATGATTTTGTGAGATGACAGATGTGTTCACAAATAAATATAACTACATACATGACGAGGTAGGCTCTGCATAGTCCTGCCCAAGAACAGTCTGTGAGAGAACATGTAAAGTTGCAGAAATAAACTATCTTCCCTAAATTCAGGCAAAGGACAAATGTGAAGGATTAGAAGCCAGACAGCAGACTTAGGTGATGGGACTTAGAAAGTAGCAAAATGATTGTCTTACGGATGTCATATGCTGATTCTGCATGGCTGAGAACCTGGGGTTATAAAAGATAACCTTCAACTCTATGCTCCTCCAAAACCTCTGCCAACACTGCTGAATTTCAGATGGTCTTGTATCAGATACAAAGCAATCAGTGGGAGCCCTGTCTGCCCACCTGCGTCCCCTCCTGTCACATGTGGCTCTGTGCTGTTTATTTGCTGCTTCCGGATTAAACAAAATAAAAGCAATAGAGAAACGTGATCCTCTGAATGGTAGGCCTGTGGGGTGTTTAAGTGTTATCTTATGAAAAACATTGGAAGAGTTGGGAGAAAGGACGGACTCTGGAAGCTTCAAGAAGGTGCAGCATTTGAGGTAGGTCTGGAAAGATGGCTAAGATTTTTTAGGGTGAAAATGGAGGGACAGGCATTGCAAGAATATAAAGCCGTGCTCCGTGAAAGGGGAGTGGGAGCGCAAGAGCTGTGTACTGGAAATGAAGAGCAGCCCCACTTAGCTGAAGAATGACACCTAATGGGGAAACGTAGGAGGGCAGAAAGGGATCAAGGTCAACCCTATGGGGTTGCCATTAAATGTATATCAGCACCCGGGAACCACAGCATTTAATCAACATTAAAGCAGAAGATAATAAAAAGAGGATACAAGAGTGAACATCGCAGTGTCACTGGGCAGGAAACACGGGCAGAAAGACGGAGGCCATGTGTGACTGTGACCAGGCCCTGAATTTCAGCTCTGGGGGGACACTCAGGAAAGAGGAACCTTGTGTGAGCTTGAATGTTGGAATGTGAATGCAAGGGAGGACGACACTAGTACGGGGAGCCTGAGGAAGAGGGAAGCACTGTACTTGTTTACAGATGTTAGGTCAAGGTCTGAGTGTGACAGTCAGGTGGAAATGGGAAAATAAGAGAATGGAGCTTAGCTGAGAGGTGGGGTAGAGACTGAGTCAGCTAGTCTGAGTTGAGTCAGTGAGCTTGGTCTGTCATAAGCATAGAATGTGGACCTAATTACAGGTCCAAAGTACAGGACAAATGCAACAAGACAAGCGATTCAGAAGCACCCAGAGAAACCAAACCAAACCTGCTGCAATTACTGTTATTTATGATTCATGTTTGTTCAGCCAGCTGACAAGTTCTCAGAAATTCTAATTCCAGGTAGGGTTGTCAAGGACGCGCGTCCTTGGGTAGAAATCTATGCCACTGAATTCCAGATGTGCTGGGTGTTCCCTGGCCTGGAGTAGGAGCGTGACACAACTCAAGGAAATGAAAGCATACTTTTTTGGAGGGACTGTGGGCAACATAGCCCCGAACCACGTTAGGATGGTAGGTACTGGACGATCGCTACACTGATTCCACAACGGCAACCATGGGAAAGTTCCCAAGGAGGGGAAGGTTGTGTTCCGGGCAGAGGCAGGGGAAAGGGCATAGCGGAAAGCCTCGGGGGACTACGCAGCCTGGGCTGGAGGCCGGCTCAAGTCCTCGCCCCAGGTGGGCGCGGCGCCGGGTAGGGGTGGGGTCACGATTTGGAGGCTAGCAGGCAGAAAGGCTGTTGGGGGAACCGGGAGGGGTTGGGCAGATCCACCCCCGGGCCTACTACATTTCCCAAGGTCTAGTGCGCCCTCGAAGACTGCGGCCCGGGCGTGGAGTATAGATTTGCGGCATGGGATTGGGAGTCAGAGTCCAGGTGCCGCCCTGGAGGACGCCAGTGGGGAGATCTTCAGCGATTGGCTACCGAACATTCTATCCCCGCCCTCATTGGTGACATCACGAGACAGTCTGACTACTTAAGGCGTCGCGGTCTGCCCCGCCCCGCCTTAGCTCCCGCGCTAGAGAGAAACATGTATCGTTTCCGATCACAGCTTTTCACGGGGATTTCTGCTGCCGCCGCTGCCCACTCGTACCCCCGCCGCTTCTCGCCTCTGTTGTTAGCCGAAGACTCGCCTCTCAGCCGCCCGCTGCACAGACGCACGAGTAGAAAGTGCAGCTCTATTGGCTGATCTTCACTGAGCTCCCAGTTTAGGCGGCACCGGGCGTCCCACGATGCCGAAGAATAAGAAGCGGAACGCGCCCCACCGCGGTGGCAGTAGTGGCAGCGGTGGCTCAGGGGCAGCCGCGGCGACGGCGGCGACGGCAGGTAAGGGCATCCCCGCCGCCGGCGCTGAGTTGCCGGCCGGGCTCCCGCTGGGGCGCGACGGGAGCTGTAGTTCGCTTCCTTTCTGACGCTTGGGCTACTGGGCCGCGTGGCGCGCCTGCGGACTACAATTCCCAGTTTGCCCGGCGCCCGTCCTCGCGCGAGTCTGGCATGTGGGTCTGGCTTGCGGGCTGGGCTAGGGCGCCTGCAGCCTGGCGGGACGAGTGGGTGGGGGCTTGGGAGTGTCCAGATCGGGGGTGGGGGTGGGGGCAGGGAGCCGGGCGGGAAAGGAGCTGTCTCCAGAGGCTGCCGCCAGCTGTCCTAAGCTCTTTCCATGACGCAGGGTGGGGCCGAGCTCAGATGGTGTCCTGGCTGTCACCCGTCGCCTGTGACCCCCGGCTCCATGATGGAGTTCGTGGAGTGTCAAGACGTCCGGCCGGTTCCGGCTGGCTCTGGCGTCACGCGGCCCGGGCTTTGCACCAGAGAAGCGCGAGTGACTTCTGTCCCGCCGCCCGGCTTGCGCGTCGCGCATGTCCATGGGGTTCTGTCTCCGGGCGGGGGAGTCGCAGGCAGGGGCCAGCGCCCCGCCCTGTGCTCATTCCTACCCCCACCTGGCACCTGGGGAAGCTGCGAGCCCCCAGCCCTACCGCCCCCTTCTCCTGGAGACCTGCCGCCGGCGCGGAAAGCGCCCTGTCCTTTGTGCTCCCTGCTGGCCAGGCAGGCGTGGTGAGGAGCCCAGCTTGCAGTTGGCTGAAAGTTTAGGGGGTTTGTATCTGCCCAGCAAAGTAGGAAAAAGCTTTTCTTGCATGGGTAGGTACTCAGTTCAAGATAGATTTGTACTTAGTAACCATAAAGTTAAGAAAATGCTGCGAGCAGAAAGTCTCGGCTGTGAGACAACACACTAAATCCACGTCCAGTAGTACTAAACTGGGTACAGTTATCTCATTTAGTGTGGAGTTGAGTGTTGGACATCCACAGACATAATCACATCAGGTTAGTGTTAGAGATTAGGTGTTTGTCCACCAAGCTGCCACTCTAATCCTATGTCCCATTGTTCATTAGAAAAGTAAATATCGAGTTACTGTATCTTGTTAAAAATGATTAGAAAGGAAGCCAGTTGTGGTGGCACACGGCTGTAGGTGCAGCACAGGGGAGCTGAGGCAGGAGGATCACTTTGGTCTACTAAGTGAGTTCAAAGCTAACCTGAACTACAAAGCGAGACCCTGTCTTAAAAAAAAAAAAACAAAAAAAAAAAAAAACAAACAAAACAGATGATTAGAAATGGACTGTAAAAAAGTCTACAGAATTTATGGCATCCCAAAACTTGTGCTCTTGTATTAAACATTTAATAATTTGCAATAGGAGCAGACAATTATAAATGGCATTCTTTTTCTTTAAATGGCTCCTTATTTTGATTGGCCATTTTCCCTGTTCATGAAATTCATTCTTCTCAAGATGTAAAATCTGTAGTTTTTAACATCTGGTTGCTCTGGGTCAGTGGAGGATACATCTTGGCTCTGCTTCAGTTTATCTGTATCAGAAATAGTTGAATGCTAAAGTCTAAACTTTATTTTTGAGTTTACTTTTTGATGATGAAATGGAAATAATGGAGAAGCAGCAAAGTAGTCGTCTTGAAAATGGAAATGTGAAAGTGGCCTCTAAAACACAAATGTTTATTCTTTCCTGAAGCTTCATGGCGAGGCTTCTTTCATGTAGTTCTTACTGTACAGCCTCTGATGGTGGGAAAACTTGACAGGAATTTTGTATCAAAGCCCATTTATGGCCTATCCTCAGCCTTATTAGTGCTGTCTTTTAAAGTATTTTTAATGGAAAAGATACTTTTAAACACCTCATTTTAGCATATACAGTACAAGCACTTAAACAGTTTTAACATGTAGACAAATGAAACAGCATTACATATTTGATTAGTTTACACAACTATACATGCTTTGAATATTTTCGGAAGCTTTCATTATAAGTTATGAACTGTGGTTACCTCTTGCAAATGGACTAAAGGAAAAAGTTATAGGGATGAGATTGGACTATTTTGTGACTTTATCTTGGGCTTATATGAATGTTTTGCTTATTAAATAAAAGTGGAGTAAAAATGATGGGAATATATCACATTAATTTAAAAACCACATACCATATTGATATTTTTTAGTGACATCTAAGAGAAATTTCTTTTCTTTTTTTGATACTGGGGATCAAACTCACGACCTCCCGCTTGCCAGGCAGGTGCTTGTGCTGAGCTAAGTGCCTTGGTCCAAGAAATGGTTTTTAAATGAGATCACTGCTGTATAATCAAATAACCAACTTTATCACTTTGATGAGTTTCCTCCTGTTTAGAGTCAAAGTTTTAAGTTAATACAAATTCTAGGAAGTTAAGAAAATTGCTCATTTATACCAGTGTGCATAGCTGTCATAGCACCTATTGTAATTTGAAGGTAGAAATTTTATGAAAAAAGCTGGATAATAGACCTCTTAGAAAAAAAGAAGTTTAGTGCCACCTCATTAATATTACTTAGAATCAGAATTGTGACCTAGATAGCAGTCCTACAAAGTTTCTGCTTTTGTTTTTTTTAAGCTCTTCTTTCTCTTGAATCTTGGAAAGAAATCACTGAAACTGGAAGCTGAGTAACAGCTGCATAGGAATAGTGTTAGTAATAGGCTGTATGAAAGAAATGTAAATTGACTTGTGAATAAATGTAATATTAATCATATGATGCTCAATTTGCCATGACTTCTGGTTATGAAAACAGACTCAGAAAAGATATGATGTCATGGATCTTTGTTTATTTCTACCCTAAGCATTGTGATTAAGACATTTTAGGATCTTGGCCTGGTTGCATATTCTTTAGGTTTTACCTCTTTTGCTGCTTTGGCAGGAAACAAGCAAGTTTGAAGGCCACTTGCTTGCTATGTTAATTTTAAAAAATTTGCTAAATTCTGCTTTAAAAAAGACTCCTCTATTTTAAAGAGAAATAACCCAACTGTAAGTGGCTTAAACTTGGAGAAATCTAAGCAGTCAGGTAGTAAATATGACTTCTGAACATGGAGACCTAGTGACTGTTGGGGAAATCTTTTACTTTACTGACACAGAATTTGGGTTCAGGGGTGGATCAGTTGATTGAAGGTCACTTTGGGGACAGAATTTGGGACGTATTTGAACTCAGGGTAACTTGACTGAATAGTGTTTTTACTAATACAAAATGGTTAGTTGTGAGTTTATTCTTTAATGAAGTTGAGATTCCTAGTTTCAAAAGAGTTTTTTTTTAATAGTATAACAGCATTGATACTTTCAAACACTTAGATATGCTGGAATTTTTCTTTTAGAGGTCATTTATTTAGGCTTTTATATCCTCAGATAACCGACATACTAATTTTAAGTCTTTTTTCTTTCTTCCTCTTTATGGGGGGCAGGCTGGGAATTGAACCCATGACTTCATGCTTGCCAGGCAGGCTTTAAGCCTTTGAGCTAAGTTCCAAAGTCTTTTTTCTTAATTAAAGTTTTATCTTTAACACTACCCTTCCTTAACATAGACATGTGTCTGTCTTTAGTTCTCTGTGACGCAGGACAGAAAACACAGGTGCTGGTTAATATTTACTAAGCTCAGTCATTACCTTAAGAAGACGTGTACATGTGTCTTGCCATGATCTATGACAGTACTCTATTTCTCGATGTATTTCATTGAGCTTTATGATTTAAAATTACAATGTGGAAGTAATTTTTTTATCCTCTCAGGTTTTATAACATCAATCTCATATAGTTAATGTACTTCTAAAGTTGTTTTTTGTTGTAATTAGTACTCTGAAACATAGATTAGATTTAGGTGAATTGACCTACTTTAGGAATATTTAAGCATATACTTGTGGGATATCATCACCTTTTTAAAAAGCAAATTTGAGTTAAGCTTGAAAATTCTCAAGTGAAATATTTGTATAGATAGCAACAAAATTGTCTGCCTCTTTCCCATTTAACCTACTAGGTGGCCAGCATCGAAATATTCAACCTTTTAGTGATGAAGATGCGTCGATTGAAACCATGAGCCACTGCAGTGGTTACAGCGATCCTTCCAGTTTTGCTGAAGATGGTATGTTTTAAATTGGAATTTGAAGCTTTACATAAAAAATGTTTTGGGTGGGGGAAGTCATATCTAAGGCAGCAGTGTTGAACCCTTTATAGACTAAGTGCCCAAACTGCCCCCCAGATCCCACTTATTTATTGCAAAGTGACAACACTGCAGTTCAACCTGAATACCTGATGCTGGGCTGCTGGGGTGACTTTGCTGAGTGCTGACAGAGAAACCCCTGCAGGCCCACTGTGCCATAGGTTTGGTCTCTGCCTTTCTGCCTTACTTTGCAGTATTTGTTTGTAGGACCCGAGGTCCTTGATGAGGAAGGAACCCAAGAAGACCTAGAGTACAAATTGAAGGGATTAATTGACCTAACCTTGGACAAGAGGTAGGAAATACTTTTACAACCTCTCCATTCTGATTGGTTGTGGTGGGACACACTGATAATTTCTGATAACTCTGGGAGGCTGAGGCAGGAGGATCACATGTTCAAGCCCCACCTGGGCAACTTACTGAGACCATGTCTCATAATGAAAAATGAAGAAGAGATCTAAGGATGCAGTGAAGTGAGAAAGCCCTGGGTTCAACCCCCAGTCCCACAAGAAAGAAAACCCCTTCATTCTACAAGCTACCTGACTTGTATCATTTGTGTAATTCTCTAATAATGCTTGTTAATGATGCTAGAATCTGTAATTTGCTGCTTGATTTGTTTACTTTGGATGATTTGTTTCTTGTTCCTTTGGCCTCTTAATGTGGTTAGTAAAACAGGAGCGGTAGTTAGATTTCTGAACTGGTCATTATTTTAGCATAATAGCATGTATAGAACTATACTTGATTGTAATTGGAATAGTTGTGCTGAGTTAAAAGTTAATCATCATTTGGAAATGACAGCTGAACTTTGAACTGCTTGAACACTTAATTTTGTTATGGACATGAAAAATGCTTTTTCTTCATAGTAGCTCTAGAATCGAATCAAATAAATAGAATGCTTTTAGAAGCCTAGAAGATGCAAACATGAATTCTAGACTTTTGTAATGCTAAAAATGTGAATTTACTTACATACATAGTACATCTTGTGCATTGAAACTATACATCCCCATGTCATCACTGAGTCATGGCAGTGCAGCTACTAAAGAGAAAAATAGTATGATCTAAAGGAGTTTAAAAGGCTTCTGTGTTAGGTAAATCATGGATGAAAATTATATTATTGAAAAATACTTAGACCTTGATGACAGTTGGATTAGAAGTTGTATAGATAGAAGTAAGCTGTTTGAAGTCTCCCTGGCTGATAGCATACTCCACCTAAATCTTGCTCTTACATTTTATCTTACACAGCGCAAAAACAAGGCAGGCAGCTCTGGAAGGCATTAAAAACACACTGGCTTCAAAAATGCTCTATGAATTTATTCTGGAAAGAAGAATGACATTAACCGATAGCGTTGAACGCTGTCTGAAAAAAGGTAACAACATTTTTGAGTCACTGGTATAGAGCTAATAGTAACTTTGCTGTCTTCTTTGTAATAATGTTTGTTTATGATGCTAGAATACTAGCTTACTCTTAGGACAGGGACAGGGTATATATACATGATGCTCAGTGAAACTCAGAATGAGGTTTTTAGAAACTGTTTTATATAGTAACGTTGAAATTTGGAAGGGTTGAGGTTGGATTGCCATTCCTTTTTGTATCAGAAGTGAACGTCATCCTTGTTATACAAGAAAGGTTTGAAAGTGTCAGTTGTCAACAACGTAGGCATAATTTCAAAAGCCACCCTATTTCTTTTCTAAACTTGAATTATGTAGTTCCTTTTCGTTTGATGTACTTAAAACATCTGTTGTATGTGTAAATGACATCGTTTTCAGGATTACCCTTGAAATATTTGAATTCTAAAACTTTGTGGGAGAAATCCTGGAATTCATGTCGTTATGACGACACAACTTTGAAGAATGAAGGGACCTAAAGATGAAGTCTAGGGTTACCAGACTTGAGTTGTAGGAACTAGCACAGTTAGTACAGTCATTTGCATCTACCTACACATTTACCTATTTTGCCAGGTAAGGACATTAGAAGCAGAATTGCTGTCTGTCATTATCACTTTATTAACAAAATTTAACTGCAAAAAATAGGGAGCTTAGTTTTCCTCAGATTGCGAGACCTTTGCCATGTCTCTATTTTCTCATCTTGCCTCAGCGTGAAAGCTGTCATGAATGAAAGCCTTGCTGGTGAGGTCCACCCCCACATTTCACAGAATGAGGAGAGGTGCAGGGAGAGTGAGTTGGCTGCGCGCTTATGTAATGTGGTACAGTTGATACAGAGCCAGCTTTTTGGAGGTAGCACAATGGCTTTTTAAAAGGTATTTCAGATCAAAACTCTCCCATCTAGCTGGGCTACATGACTTTAAAAGACTCCATTTCAATCTGTTTATTCATGCATTTTTAATTTATAAGATAATTTAGGTTTAGTATTTGCCCAAACTCCTTAGTGCATACAGTTGTCAAAACAACTAATTTACCTTTATGTGGATACATTTTCTGTGGTCTTAAAGAATCTGCTGTTTAATGCTTTATTTTGTTAAAGTTTCGGAAGAAAACCCAGAAAATTACTCTATGGGCTGTGCACATCTGAAATGCTTAGGAGACTAATTCAGGGGCTACTTGAACACCCATAGTGAGTACCATAGAGCAGAAAGCAACATGAGACACGTTTGTTGAGCCAGTGCAAAGCTCCCTGTTTTGAGGAGGATAATTAACCTCCGTTTTATGGAAGAGGAAGTCTGAGCTGACAGTAACTCGCCACGGTGGCGCCTTGGCCTCTTTCCTAGGGAAGAACGAGGAGCAGCGCGCAGCCGCAGTGTTGGCCTCCGTTCTCTGCATTCAGCTGGGCCCTGGCATTGAAAGCGAAGAGATTTTAAAAACTCTCGGGCCGGTCCTAAAGAAAATAATCTGTGATGGAACAGCTAGCATCCAGGCCAGGCAAACGGTAAGTATAGGACTTCTAAGTTTGTTACATCTGTCTAAGCAAGACATACTCAGTCATAGATAGGTTTTTGTTAATAGTTTATTCATATTTGTCTTAGTTTAGATGTAATATGACAGGCTTCTTAAATTTTCTTACTCCAACGAGTAAATTTTCTTGCTCCCAACTCCTATATGGAGTAAGTTTGTGTGTCTTTGAAATTGAAGGTCATGTAATTCAGGATGATTGCAGAATAATTTTGATTTGGAAGTTAAAGAAATGGTCTGAAAAAAATGACGGGTCTAGACATTTAAAGTTAATTGATAGCTGTTTTTTTTTAAAAATCCTTACATAAAATGCAATTGTTTTCTTTTTCTTGGCTACTGTGTCCTACATAAGTCCTTATAAAAAAGCTAAGTTATTTGGGTTGTCCTATGCATCTCTAAAACTGTGGACTCTGATATACTTCTCTTTAGAGATTTCAGAAAGCACTTATTTATTCTTTAATTGATACTTTGTAGTTTGGTAGTTAAATAACTACCAAAGTTTTATGAGCTTCCTGCTTCTGTGTGCTTATTTCTTGGAAGCTGTTTGGAGTCTTCATAAAACTCAACAAATGTAACAGTTTCCTTTTCTGTTTATTTAGTTACTTTTTTTTTTTTTTGCAGACTGGGATCAGACCCTGGTCCTTTGCCCTGATCTGTTTCCCCAGCCCCACCCCTTTTCTTTTAAGAGAGACCTACAAGGTTGCCAAGTTTTCTGAGCTGCTCTAAAACTTGCAAATGCTGCTGCCTCAGCCTTCCATATGCTGGAATTACAACTGTAAAACACCACCAATCCCAGAGGTGTTTTGAAACCTTGAAAACGGTGGCCATCTTAATGTAGTTTAATGTTTTTAATAGGGAGTGCGGGCTGCTTTATTGTAAATGTTGATGCTTATATCTCCATTTTTGAATTAGGATTGAAGTTTCAAATGATCGAGGCATTGGTGCTGCATATAGGAAGTCAACAGTGAGGTGACATTCAAAATGCTTTATTAAAGGGAGAGTAAGAAAAATAATAAATAATAGACTATGGAGCTGGAGTGCATTTAGAAATTATAACATTCATTTGCACGTACTATCCCCTCCTATTTTATGAACTAATAAAAAGAAGACTCAAGAAGAAGAGTCATTTTCCTAAAACATTATTGTGAGTTAGGTGGTAGAATTTGGGCTGAAATCCCACTTCTCTTAACTCTTGATCCAATATTTTTTTCTCCTTTCTGTATAGTGTAATTGGAAACTAATATAATCAAGTAGTGAAGCAAATTTTCTCTTTGAATTACAAGAACAGATGTAGACTTTTAAAAAAAAATTACCAACATTAATATCGTTTATTTTATAATTTTTTTTTTTTAGTGTGCGACTTGCTTTGGTGTTTGCTCTTTTATTGCCACAGATGACATTACTGTAAGTAGAAACCTTTGGTCCAGTTATGTGCCGTGATTTCTAATTTAAGGGGGTTGTCTTACTGCATTTTCTTTCTGGCAGGAGCTGTATTCAACTCTGGACTGTTTGGAAAGTATCTTTACCAAGTCCTATCTCAAAGACAAAGACACCAATGGTATTTGCAGTACCGCTTGCACGGTGCTGCACATCAGCGCGCTTCTCTCGTGGACGTTATTGCTGACCATATGCCCAATCAGTGAAGTGAAGAAAAGGCTGGAGATGTATGCGTTCTTTTAGTTTCATATTTAGAAGCGCATTTGGTTGGCATAACTGGTCACATTCACACAGTAACGACTAACTGTTTTCTAGGCATTTCCATAAGCTTCCAAGCCTGCTTTCTTGTGATGATGTAAACATGAGAATAGCTGCTGGTGAATCTTTGGCACTTCTGTTTGAACTGGCCAGAGAGATGGAGAATGTAAGTATCTGATGGGCAGAGGAAAACGCTTGTGCCTCAAAGGTCATTATTCCATTGTATGACCACAGTTAAGAATTGGAGAGTAGGTTTGGAGGATGGCCAGTGATGAACCTGGTGACAGACTGACTGTCCTGCTTCTTGGCACTGAAGCATACACTGCTGAGAGGGCATACACTGATAGGAATTGGTAGAACAGAATCTGAGCATAGTTCCACTGAACTTTGACTGTCTTTGGAACTGAAGTTGTGCATGGTATAATCCGTTCAGAACTGCTTAGGTTTCTTGGATACCCATCACATTAAGGCAGTTCAGGCATGTGATGTTTTGTAATGAAAACCAGACAAATGGATGGAATACTGGGTTAGCGTAGGTTTGGGGTGAGCTGGGTTGAATCCTCCTTGCAGACTGCCCTTTCGAGTTGTACATGTGCTTTGCAGTCCACTGTCCACTCACAGATGTTAGTTACCGTGGCTTGGTTCTTGGCTGTGTTTGAGTTCGGCTTGGTTCTTGGCTGTGTTTGAGTTCGGCTTGGTTCTTGGCTGTGTTTGAGTTCGTGCTAGTTGTAGCCAGTTTCCTCGGTACTGTTTCAGTTTTAGCACTGAAAGTATTGTGTTCAGGAAATCCTTTGTCTAAGACATTGACTGTATCATTGTTTACCTGTCAAGAGGACAAGTAGAGGGATCCAGTAAAAACCCAAATACATGGGCAATAGGCAAGTAAGAGCTATTTGTTTTACCCTGAGTTACTTACTAAGGTACTTTTTAATCTAAGAAGAAAGTATTTACAGGATGGAACGTTTTCTGCAAATGAAGCTAAGGAATTGAATATTTTGGAGTAGAATTAATAGTGTTCTGGGTTACCTGCGGTGTTTAATCATTTACTTTCTATTCTAGATATGTATCTTAAAATGTTTAGGCTCTAAATTTGTATGTGTGAAGTATCTGCATAAGCTCCCTGCTGTCCTTTTGGAAGGGTCACAGGAGCAGAAAGTAAGTTAATGTAGTAGCCAATGATTTTCCTTACGTGAAAATTGAAATCAAATTTAGTAATTAATTATTCTGAGTTAGTTAATAGTTTATGACTCCTTAACCAAAAGGCCCAGAAACCAGGTGTCCCAGTTTTTAATCTTACATTTCTCTAATATCTAGAAACTAAATTTTTTTTTTCTTACAAATTTCATTCTAAAAGTAATAATGCAGTTTGAATTACACCTCAAATTTGTTTAAATGTATGTAACCTTAGCACATTAACTGCATATCTTTGTTTTCTGACTTAATAAATTGTAAAGGAGAATCAGGAGAACTCATCCAAACATGTTTAATATGACTCAGTCCTTGTCCGTGGACAGAAATGAACTGCTTTACAAATAGTACCTCTTCTGCTCTTTTTATTTAAGTAAACTTTTTGCTTGTGAGTAGTTGGGGTAGTTACAGAGTGTGGGCAGTTACGGCTGTTCAAACTTAATTGGACCAGGGCGGTCTGGAGCGGAGCCCTGCGGTAGAATGCTTGCCTAATATGCAACCGGCCCTGGGCTGATCCCCAGCTCCACAAAAAGGGACCAACATTTTAAACCAGGAGGCTGATGAAATGCGCAGGATGTGGAGTTCTTGTAGCAAATGAGTAGTGTTGTGTTTACTCAGAGCCTTTTGCTGACCTGATTTTGAGATGTTAGTAACTTGTACCTCTGGCACTGTGAAGAACTCTGCCTAGGAGACTTAGAAAAAGGTTCTGAAGAGCAGATTTTGGTGGGTTTCTTTCTAAGCGTGAAATGGGTGAAGTTAGGTGGTGTGGCTCGCTTTTGAGAGTGTCCTAGCTTCCAGTGTGCGTGCTGGGAAGTGAGGTTGGAGCCCTGCGGTTTAGGTTCTTAGGTCTCTGGTACCTCTACCAGTGGGATGATGTTCAGCAACTTCCCTGTGCCCCACTCCTTGGTTTTAAAGTGGAGAAAACAACAGCTCCGCAGACGGTCGTTGAGAACACAAGGGTGCAGCGAAGCCATTACTGTCATGCTGGGCGGAAGTGAGTTGCCTTCGTCTCCCAGCAGGAGTCCACTAGTGGCCTTAAGAGCAACTCTAGGGAAACTCAAGAGAGGCTACAAGGTGGGTACAATTATAGGTCACGAGGTGGGTGATGTGCTGCTGTTGCAAGACTAACTCAGAAAAGTATACAGAAGGGAAGGATTCCCCAGTTCTCCAGTCTCGTCCCCCATCGGCCTGATGGGAAATCCCGTGATGTGGAAAGAGAAAAACTCAGATTCACAACATACTCCGTACTAAGCCTGCTGCCCCACAGATACAATACCTCAGAAGGAGCAACGCCAGCATTTTCTTCTTACTTCTGTTTATAGGATAGCTGACCCTGTGTAAAAATACCTCCGTCCCTTAACAAAGGTATTCTACCATGATAACAAGAATTGGAAAAACGAGTCTGTGCTTGTAGATTCAGATAAAACCATTTAGAGATGTGTGGTACTTTGCAGTGAATTGGGGAGGGATCAAATTCTATTCTGATGCTAGACTTCCATAAGATTTATGTTGCTTTTTTTCTTTTCAGTGCTGGGGTTCAAACACAGGGCCTCACAAATGTTAGACATTGTTCCTCCACTGAGCTGCAATCCTGGGCCATGATTTTTGTATTCATAACCGTTAGCTATTCAAGAGCAGCTTATATCATTGTGTTTAGTTAGTGCTGCAGTGAGTTCTATATAGAAATACTAGTTTGGGGAGCGACTTGGTTGATTTTAAGAATTTTACCTGCAAACTCTGCTAAAAGTTGTTTTTGAGATAGGGTCTCTCCATGCTGCCCAAGCTGGCCCTGAACTCGAGGTCCTGCATGCTCAGCCTCCTGAGTAGCTGCAGTGCTCTACCAAGCCCTTTCAGAAGTTTTCTGTGGTTTCATTTCATCGTAACTTCGCTGAACTTTGGAAAACATTAATTTAGTGTAGTCATTATTTTGGTATGAAATTACTGTCGTTAGTGGGCCAGTTTGTCAAGTTTATATTATGTTAATTTGAGAAGTTATCAGAACAGTAAGAGCTGTCATTCATTAATGGATGCCATGCATTAATGGGTATACTATTTTATATATTTCACTTATATCTTTATAAAAAAAAAACCTGTGAGATGCCCCTGGTATTGTTTTCATTTTTTAAAAGATGAACCTGAGGCACAAATTGCTATTGTAATTACACCCAAACTTGTACATACCTAAGTGGTTGGATGCTTGTGATACAAACTTAGATGTTTTCATTGCAAACATCCATGTTTTATATGACGTTAAACTTCTAGGTGTAAGTTGCTAGGTTTTTTTTAAAGTTCTATATAAAATCCTCTAAATCTGGAATATTGACACAACAGCTCATGTTTTGGGGCAGTTTATTATTTAATACCTCAAACATTACACAGGAAGGTGGATATTCTCTTTTTAAGATGATAAAACATTCCCATTAATTGAAATTCTAATCCAGGACTTTGATCCTCTTGTATAAGAATGACTATGCTATTTTCTTTTCATTATGCTTTGTTCCAGAGCATAGTTTTACTGTATAATTATCCTGAACTATTGAGTGCTATTTTTGTTGTGTTACATTTTCTGTTTTTCTTTTTTTTAAAATAATATATGCCCAGGTGGCTTATGCAGTCTTTTCCCTAAAATGGTAGACATTTCTTTTTCCAAGTTTTAGTACTTTATTGCTGTAAACTGGATTGAGTGTTTTCCATGGCTAAGATCGTACTGGAATCTCTCAGCCTTAGCACTCTGATATTTTGGGTTGGAGAAGTTTTTGCGGTCAAGCTGCCGAGGGCTGTCTTGCATTGAAGGATTCAGCAGCATCCTGGTGTCTCTACCCCCTGGATGTGAGTAGCACCCCTTTCCCCTGTTAACACCACCGAAAATGTCTCCAAGTGTCCCCTGGGAGGTACGATCTTCCCCTGTTAAAACTCTGGCAGTGGTTCACAGTTCTTAAAACCAGTTAAGATAACATTAGAATTCTGGTTTATTTATCTTTATGATAGATTTTTAAGTAACTGTTTTTCTAGCTCAGACATAGGTTAAATTTGACACATTTGAGGAAAACGTTTGTTGGAATAGTAGACAAAGTCTTTATATTTTGAAACAAAAGCTGTCCCACTAATTTCAAGCTTACTTTCCACAAGTTTTGAATTTTGAGATTATGTAATTATGTGTACAATTGAAAGAATATGAGGAATAAGAACCACTTATTTTACTAGAGTAAATTAAATGATTATTACATCTGCTGCAAACAAATGTCAAATATAAACAACTAGAACTAGAGATTGCTCACTTTTAGTTTCTTAGAAATATTTGCTCTTCATAGTGAAAAGAAAACCTACAAACTGGGAAACAATTTTAGTGAACTGTCCCTCAGACAAAGGACTTCTGTCTAAAACATAAAGAATTCAAAGATCCAATCCAAAAATGGGCATCTGAGATGAATACACAGTTCTCAGATGAAGAAATACAATGGCAAATAAATACATGAAAAATGTTCATCATCATTACTCATTAGAGAAATGCAAATTAAAACCACACTGAGATTCCATCTCACTCCAGAAAGAATGGCCAGGATCAAGAAATCTACCAACAACAAATGCTGGAGAGGCTATGGGGAAAAAGGAACTCTCCTGTACTGTTGGTGGGAGTGTAGACTGGTGCAACCATTGGGAAGGTCAGTCTGGAGATTTTTCAGAAAGCTGGGATTGGAAATCCCATTTGTTCCAGCTATTCCACTTCTAGGTATATTCCCAGAAGAACTGAAAACATCATACTACAGTGATGTATGTGCACCCATGTTTATAGCAGCACAATTTGTAATAGCCAGATCTTGGAAACAACCTAAGTGTCCATCAGCTGAGGAATGGATAAAAAAAGTTATGGTATTTTTATACAATGGAGTACTACTGAGCTGTAAAGAATGATCACATTGAGATATTTATAAATAAATCAAACTCACATGTATAAATACTGAATAGTTTCCCTAGTGTAAGAAATGGTAAGAATACATAAAAGTATGTGGTAATCATGATTCCCCATTATATTGCTTTGAAGCCTTATGTTTTCATTCATTAATTGGAATGGTTTTATTCTGGGTTGTTTGATTTTATTGTCTGTGATGGTATGAACAGCTATTTTGAAGAAAACAAGACATAATAGCTAGTGATGATTTAATATCATCTTGTTTTGAAGTACCACCAAGCTTTTGTTCTTCTGTCTCCATCGGTTTTATCATATTGTATCTTATTGGATTTTATCATATGTGATGGCATAAAATTTTTTATAGACAAGGAGATAATATAGAAACCATTGTTCATTTTCTGTTAGTTGGTTCTGAATACCCTGTAATACTTTCATTCTCTTGAATGGTTTTACACTGTCTTTTTATGTTTGATACCATAGTATATGAAGGTATACTCAAATATTTCAAGGAAAGAGACACTGTGGTAGCTACTGTTATGTCAGGTTGTCTTGTGAAACACTATGTTGCTTGAATTGTTCTGTTCTGACATGTGTTATGTCCTCTTTTATCTTACTCTTTTTAAAAAAAAAAAGAAAAAAGAAATATTTGCTCTAGTTTAGGTTGCTAAGTAAGTGAATCCTCTTGTGGTTTGGTTTTGTTTTGTTTTTTGGTGGTGATCCCAGGGTGCTGGTGCTTGAACTCAGGTCTTCACTCTGAGCCAGGACCCCAGCACCCTTTAACCTGTCTGGTAGGTCAGCTCTTGCGAAGATGCTCCAGGCTGAGCTTTGCTTTGGATCCTTTTGCCTTAGCACTCTGTTGACTTGAGGTTGTAAAAGGGAGAAGCCAGTAACCAGTAAAACAAACTTGCTTCCTTTTTGTGCCCAGGACTTTTTTTATGAAGACATAGAATCTTTGACCCAGATGCTGAGGGCTTTGGCTACAGATGGAAATAAACACCGGGCCAAAGTGGACAAGAGAAAGCAGCGCTCCGTGTTCAGAGATGTCCTGAGGGCGGTTGAGGTAGGCCTCGTAAATGCTGTAACAGCTGCTTATTTTCTGTAATTGTTTTAGGCTGAACTTGACAGTGGGGTCACTCGGTGGATTGAATTTCTTCACGATCAAGTGGTACTGGGTATTGAACCAGGGCCTTCGTGCAGAGCTACATCCTGGCCCTTTTTAGTTTGTGGAGACACTGTCTTGCTAAGCTGCTCAGGTGGGATCTGAACTTGTAAACCTCCTGTCTCAGCTTCCTGAAGTGCTGGGGTTACAGACATGTGCCATTACACCTGGCTCCAGGCAGATTTTTAACAAGTGAAGAAGGTTTTTCAAAGACCTTTGTGATCTTTCTAGGAAGGATAGGTGCTAAGAAATCAAAACAAAACAAAACAAAAAGCAAATATGTCATCTGCCAAGCCACTCAAGTCATGTGATGAAATGGTTTTATGGTTAGGGTGGCAGAATTCCTAAGGTATGCAAGCCGTTCTCCTGGAATAAATAACTAAACTATTTCCTTTGTTTTTTTTTTTTTTTTTTTTGTGCAAGGGATTGAACTCATGACCTCGCCCTTGCCAGACAGGCACTTAAGCCACTGAGCTAAATCCCCAGCCCCTTTATTTCATTTTTTTAAGATAGGGTCTCACTGAGTTACCCTGACTGGCTCACCCAGACTTGGCATTCCTCCCGCTGCAGCCAGAGTACAGGGGTAAACATGCCCAGCTCCTATAAACCTTTTTCCTGTTGTTTTTGGACAGTGTAGTCTCCAGAGATAAGATGGTGACGTGGCCTAGGTTTCCTGGGTTAGACCTGACTTCAGACTCTGTGTCTTGCTGGGGGGTAGATAGATGGTAAGTGGTCAGCACGACCCCGATGGTCAGCCTCCACCGTCCACCACGCCAGCTGTGCGCCTCTCAGCACTGAGAATCCTGAGGGAGAAAAGGCCAGTCTGGCGCACACAGCTCTGGCCGGCCCTGGCCCTGGAGTTGTCAGGTGCCCTTACCCGGAGGCCGCTCCCCCACCCCCCTGCCATGGCAGTCTGCCTGTCCTCTCGCCCTTGGCCGGGGTGACGGTGCCTCCCCTGCCCTACTGTTTGGCTCCCTCTTCTGCAGCCTCTACTTCCGTGTACTACTCAAGAAGGGCCTCTCTGCCACATGAGGAGTTCTTGTGACAATGACAGGAACCCAGCTGTCTGGGGAGGATCCTGCTTCCTTGGTGGGACTTTTAAGCAAAGTTGCCCAGCTGCCAGAGAGAATTACACATTTTAGGTGTCATAGTGGCTGCCACATAATTTCTGTTGCCCCAGACCTTTCCTCAAAGCTCACAGTCTGTAAGTCCACTGACATTTAGTATACTAGATGCTTCGCCATATGGTTTCCTTGTTTCACTTCCACGGCAACTTTCAGGCAGTAGGATCCTCCTTACTCAGGAAAGGTAGATGCCAGAGTCACTCTAATCCCAGCACTCTGGGAAGTTTAAGCAGGAGGATCACGGTTTCGAGCCCAGCCTGTGCAATTTAGTGGTTCAGCAAGACCCTGTGTCACAAAATAAAAGGTTGAGGATGTAGCTTTAGTGTGAAAGCCCTGGGTTCAATCCCAGTACAAACACAAAAGAGCAGCAGTCATTCAGGAACCGAAACAGTGGGTGGCAGAACTGAAACGTGATCCTCAGGGCTGTGCCTGTCCACAGAGGCCGGCGCCACACGCAGACAGGCGGAGGGAAAGGAAGTGAAGTCCTCAGTGGAGCTGCGCTTAGGTCATTGGTGACCTTTCTAGAGCAGCGTCTGTGGAGCTGGAAAGTGAGGACGTGGACTGGATGTATCCTCAGCTCTGTTAAAAAGCTCAGTTGCATCATGAAGGACAGAGAATCTGGCCAGCACATAGTGCTGGATCGTAGGGGGGATTGCTTTGTGCTTTGTTTTAGACAGTTTCACGGGAAGGGGAACCAGTGAACAGGAGCCTTTGAAAATGATGGGTGGGAGATGGGACTCACCTGGGTTAGGGAGTCCAGGGTCTGTCACACTCAGGTGGGGGTGCAGGTGGTGCTGGGAACGGAGTTCTTCCAGGTGTGGCGGCGCTTCGTGAAGTCGAGGTCGAGATTCGGGATTGTTGCTGGACCAGAGTTGAGCTGTTAAACACCAGGCGGGTGGTTGCATTGTGCTTCGCAGACTGCTCTCTCTTCACCCCTAACCCCTGAGGCCTCCTGCTGGCCGGCTCTCTCCTGGGCTCGGGGCTCCCTGTTGGCCCTGCCTCTCTTCCTTCCCTGGGTCCTTACTGTCCAGCCTCTCTCTCGCCTTGCGCAGTTTTGTCTCTCACTGTTCCCTTCCCCATCCCACATCAGTATAAACACCTTTTTCAAGTTTCTTGAGTGCTTCTGAAATTTTAAAATGTCCACAGCAGCATGATTTTGTCTTTCATACTTACCCAAATTCAGATTCTGCAGCCTCACATGTAGGACAAAAATTCTGCATCTTTTCACATCTCAACTGTGGAAGTACTGGGTTAAAATATTCATCTCATTTATCTGTTTATTTAGAAAAAGTGTTCCCGTGAAATCTTGCCAGGCTATTTCATACCTGTGATGATTTTGTCCCTTTCATTGTCTAGGAACGGGATTTTCCAACAGAAACTGTTAAATTTGGTCCCGAACGCATGTATATTGATACCTGGGTCAAAAAACACACTTACGACACCTTTAAAGAGATTCTTGGGTCAGGGATGCAGTACCATTTGCAGGTGAGTGATGTTTCTATACCTTTGCTTAAGGAACTGTCTTAAGTATATTTGCTGTTGAATGTGAAATTGAGTAAATAAAACTTCATTTTGGGTGGTATAAGTTCACTCGAATGTTACCGATACTTTTGATGGAAGCAAATAGCTTCAGTGGCTTTCTGGGATTCAAGTTCACTTTAATACTGCGAAACACTAATAGTCATTCTTACTGGTTCATACTTACTGGTTGTACATAATTTTTGTTAATCAGATTCATTCTATGTAGTGAAAAAAACCTGTGATATTTAGTATGAAGCCTTATTTTTTTTCTCTCACATCAGACAAATGAATTCCTTCGCAATGTGTTTGAACTTGGGCCCCCAGTGATGCTTGATGCTTCAATGCTTAAGACAATGAAGATTTCTCGTTTTGAAAGGGTAGGTTTTTGTTTTTGTTCATAATGGAATTAAATGTTCAGAATGAAAATGGAGGCAAAGCTTGGATTCTGCCTGGTGATGGGAACTTAGCTGTGTCACCCAGAACATGTAATTTCAGTTTCTCACAGTGTGTCACACAGACTAGCTGTACTGAAGGTATAGAAGCTTCATTGCACTAACCCGAGACCATACTATTTCAGTACGGAAATTATTTGTGAGTCTTGTTCCTTTTGTGTGAGATACTGTACTTAGTCACGTTAACACACTGTGAGTTTCAGGTGAACATTTCCAATATCCTTAATTTTTAAATTTTTGTTATTGAGGTAAGAGTTACACAGGGAGACTTTACTTTGAAATGCTAAGTTGCATTTGTTACATTCCTGGTGTTTTACAACCACTGACCTCTGTCCTCTTCCAAAACATTTTCCTCACCTCAAAAGAAAGTCTTTTTATCCAAAAGCAGCACCCTCGTCTGTCCCTCCAGCCACTGGCGAGCACTACTGTGTACTCTTGTCTGTGGTTTTACCAGTTCTGGGTATTTCATGTAAATGAAGTTCCACAACACGTTAGCTTCTGCATTTGTCGTTTTCCACTTAGCACAGAGTTGTCCAGGCTCCTCTGTGCCAGCTCTGTTGGCACGTCTTTCCTTTGTGGTGCTGGGTGACACTACATTGTATGGATAGACCATGATTCGTCTAAATTGATTTGGCCATTGTGACTTTCTACTGTGAACACTGAAACAGATTTTCATATGAAAACTTTCAGTGTTGGAGAGGTACATGGCTGTGCGTAGAATTGCTTGGTCTTTTGGTAATTTTAGATGGAACTTTTTGAGGAGCCACTAAATTTATCTGTAGCTGCTGTACTATTTTGCATCAGTACTAGCAGTACTTAAGGATTCCAGTCTCCAGGCCTCATCAACATTTGTTGCTCTGTTTAAATTTCTAATTATAGCCACCTTACTGGGTGTGATGTGCTTAATTATACTTTCATAGAACTTTTTTTTTTTTTTTTTTTTGGTACCGAAGTTCAAACTCTCAACCTTGTGCTTGCCAGGCAGGCGTTTATGCCGCTGAGCTAAATCCCTGGCTCCTAGAACTTTTTTTTGTTTGTTTTTGAGATAGGGTTTTGCTGTGTAATCTAGGCTGGCCTTGAATTCACAGTGATCCTCCTGCCTCAACCTCCTAAGTGCTGGGATTATAGGCATGTGCTATCACACTTGGGCTTTTATATTTAGTTACTGATGTGGTCACATAATTGAGAAGTACTTAAGACTTTCTGATAAAATTACATATTTTTTCTTTTGGAATAATTCTTCCTGAAATAAAGCATCAGATGAAGACATTTGATGGGTTTTTGCTAAATACTTTGAAGATGCTCTATCATTGTTAATTGTCTCTGGCAGTGAATGAAGGCATGTTGCTGTATACAGAGATTTAAACAGTGATAGGTTTTCTAATTATAAGAGACTGTTAACTGCTGGGTATGATCCCACATGCCTGTAATCCTAGCACTCTGGAGACTAAAGCAGGAGGATTGTGAGTTTAGGGGTCAACCTAGGCTAGGCAGTGAATTCAAAAACGGGCTTGGATTACAAAGTGAACTCTTATCTTAAAAAAAAGTTAATGTAATTGGTATTAAAATGGCTCTTATCACTTTTTATTTTTTTAATTGATGGTTGAGCAGGATTTTTTTTCCACATTAATCATTTGTTTTCAGATTAACTGATCATTTTTGCCTTCCTTGGCATTTACTTACTGTTTATGTATTTGGTTCATAAATTTCTTAATATAGAGTAGCCACTAACTGTGCTGATAATTTTCTGCCTCATTCTTTGTATCTTACAAATATTTAAAATACTGGTAGAGTCATATTAGTTCATTTCTTTCGTGATTTTATCTTTTTATTTTCCAAGAACATCTTGTCTACTGATTCATGTGTATTTTCCTCTTCTTGATTGCAGCATTTATATAACTCTGCGGCTTTCAAAGCACGAACAAAAGCTCGAAGCAAATGTCGGGATAAGAGAGCAGATGTTGGAGAATTCTTCTAGATTTTTAGCACTTGATAACTTTTTTTAAATTTCTTTTCCTATTTTTAATGTATATAAGCCTTAGACAGTTTTTATCTTGAGTCAAGTTATCTCATGTTTGTAGTGGGGGTGGGTTATATATTCCTTCTGACTTAATGTACAGTATTGTAAATGATGAGTTCTGATTATCAAATATTCTCTAAATATAATCAGTAAACATGAATAAGGTAAAATTGTTTGGTCGTGTTCTATTTAAGAAAAGAGCAAAAAGATGGTGTTTCACTTGATTTCATGTTGAAAAGGGTTTGATTTCTTCTGTAGTCGTCATTGTCAAAGTGTTGGCGATTTTAATGGCACACATACAAGATAATAAATTTGGGTTTGGATATAAGTTTTAGAAGCTGGTTCCTCAGGAAAAGCTGCTGTGTTTTAAATTTTAAATGGACTGCGACCATTTCAGTTTTGTCAGTAGAGTGAACAAAGGCATTACACACTGAAGTTTGCAAGCGCTGTCCTGAAGGGCCATTGATGCATTTCAGCTGCTGGGATTGGCAACATGCAGCCTGAGCCGGAAGGGTCGCTCCTCTGATCCTGTCAGCAGTCACGCTCGTGTTATCTGCAGAGTGAGACATTCTTATCACTTGGAAATAAAGATCATTTCACACTGAAAGTGCTTGCTTTCTTTCAGAAAAAACATTTTTATAACTTAGAGGTATAGAGCTCGAAATACTCAAGCCAAGTAGGAATGTTGTATGTTTGAAAACAAATAAAATAAATATAGCAATATAAAATTGGCATCTAGCTACTGACTTTTATTTCTGTTTGGTGGTTTTCTTGACTGTTTGTCTTTTTTTTTTTTTAATGAAAAGTTATAAGCTTTTGGCAGTGTATTAAAATTATTAAGCCCAAGTGTAAGTTATATTGTTTAATGTGTGCAGTTTGGACTCCATAGACTTGTTTTTTGATTTTCTTGCTTGGAGAATGACATGACATGGGAAGCACGTACCAAAAATACCAAAATCGCTTCTGGTATTTTTACTGCACTGGATTTCCTCTTCCCCCTGCAGTTCCTGGAGGGCTGACCAGCCACTGGGTGCAGACCACTGGCCTGTCATGGCACTGAAGTTTTCTGTCCCTTGTTCTAGGACAGTGGGAGATGAGATGAAATCTAGACCTTGAATTTATGTGTTGTCACTTTTTATATCCTAGCTAGGCTCAGTCCATGAAGAGATTGAATAATAGTGGTTTTTCTCCCCCTAGGTTTTCAATAAGAATGGATTTTTACTAAAGTTACAATTTAATAGTATTTGCAGGCTTATAAGGGAAAAGCCTTCCGATCAATCCTTTCCCATTCCAGGAGACATTCAGCAGCCTCTTTTTTCTGACACCCCAGTTTCATGTTTTAAGTAATGTACAGCTATTTCTTTTATTTTGTACTGGGAACTGACCTCAGAGCCTTGTACTTGCCAGGCAGGTAGGTGCTTATGCCACTGAGCTATATCCCCAGCTGTATAGCTGTCTTAGTTTATTGTTTTTATATATTTGTGTCCTGCTGTGACAAGTGAAGATTGTCTATTTCCCCCTTTTGTATTTCATTAGTTCGTGTTAAATCAGCATTATCACTTGCATAATTTAAACCAGACTTAACATTTTTCACTTCTGAGCTAGTTTATTATACTTAACACTTTTATTCTTAGAACATTGTGTTCTGGAGTTAATAATTGTCTTCTTTTAAAAATATGTTCATCATCAGTTCTTCCCACACAGTACTATGTAAATTTGGAGAACTGTTTCAGTGTACACTGGTGCTTCATCTGAGTGTCCGACTCTTCCTGAAGCATCACTTGCTATTATGCTAGGGTGTTTTCCTCTCCAGTTGGCCCCACATTTTCTGGACCCCATGTCTCATTTATCCTATGTCTGCTCGTTAGAGTGCTTCCTTCAGGAGTTTCTTGGGAATGGACCGCACAGCTAGTGTATTGGCTTATGGTTTCGTATTTCTTAAAGATAGCATGCTTGGTATATGCAGGTCTAGGTAGAAAATCAAATTCAGGATTTAGACTATTCACATGTAGAACTTGGAAAGCATTGCTGTTCTGTATTCAAACTGGCACAGTGTGAGATTTGGTAGTTTTTATGTCCCATCTTAGCTCACTTTTGCTCTTAAAAATCTGCCATCAGTATTGTAAAAATTGCATGATACTGTGCTTTGGTGGGCTTGGCAATCTGAGAAAAAATTTCCAGTTGTCAAATTTTTACCTTTCCTCTCCCCACTGGCGTCTTCTTTATGTGGAGCTGTGTGATATACTGGAGCTTGGAATTGAGCCTCGGGCCTTTACTGATGTTTTTTTTCTGGGGCATTTCTTTAGCACAATTTTTCATTCTTTGTTTTGCATTTTATTTTTGGAAAACATTACCTGCTGGTGTTTAGCTCTGTGGTTTTGCCTCTGGGTGCTAAGCCTGCCTGAATTCTGCAGGGTTGTTAGCCTCCCTCACCAGTGAGAGTCTCACCAAGGTGGGCACCATCCTTCCCTCTTGAGCCAAAGGGACTGAGAACCACTGTGCGTGCTAAAGGCTTAGCAGCCCGTGGAGGTGGAGGTGGGTACACCTGTTAGGAGGTGAGGCCTGGTGGAAGGGAGCTGGGACATTGTCAGCATGCCCTTGAAAGGCATGTGGGGACCCCTCTCCACAACACACCACATCCTCAGCCACATGCCTTGATAGTCCCCTCTGCCACAGGCCTGAAGGCACAGCACCTAGTGACCACGGAGTGAGACCTCTGAAGCTGTGCCAAAATAAACCTTTCTCCGGCTTTGAAATTGACTTGGTTCAGGTGTTTTGTGATAGTAATGAGAAAGGAACACGCCTGCCATCATGCTAGTTACAGTGTCACAGCTGTGCTTCCCCGTATTGCAGTTCTCAGGTCGGATCAGAGCCCTTGTCGGGTTAGTGGTCACAGTGGCAGCTCCTGCCTGTGCAGGATATTTATATTCTGACGCATACTGAGGCATAGGAGTTGGAAATGCGGTGTCACTTTACAGGCTCTTAGCTAAATAAGACCCTTCAGTCCAGTCAGAATCTTGTCAGTCACCATCAGCTACCAGCTGCAGCAGGGTTCCTTTTTTTAAGGCATAGTTTCAGTAATGTATTTACTAAAAACCTTAGACGTGGGAAAAGCCAGTATTTTGAATCTTACATCGCTTGGCTAAATTAACACTAAACATAAGAGCACTGTTTTGTGCTAGTGTTTCTGTGAGAGCACTTCTGCGGCTGAAGGGAGGCAACGAACTGCAGAAGTTGTAGAGTTTCATTGTTGCTCCTGTGTAACTAGTTGCTTTTTCCTGGTAATGGAGTAGTCAAAGCTCAGATTTTTGTAAGTAATTTGCATGCTATTGCTTTACTGAGACTAAATCCTGATTTTCAAATCTGGGAAGTCTTTATTGCATGTGCTTCTTGCTTTTAACTTTTGCTAGAAATAATTTAAGCTTTATTTTAAAAACTACTTCCTGAATGTGGAGAGGCAGTGACTCTGAAATGGAATTGCAGAGCAAATTACCATGATTCAATAAACCTTATTAGTTTTGAATTAAGCCCATTGTAACAATTCTGATTTGTGGCAAGTATTGTTGATGTGAGTTATTTTTGTGATTTGATACTAGGCACCTGCAGGGAGAAAAAGTACGAAGTGTTATTCGTAGACCACTGCAGTTAGAATATTTATTTGCAGGTAGTCAAATAATTCATAAGTGACGAAAAGCATCTGCCGTTAGTGGTGACTTAAGCCAGGGGAAAATGAAATTAGTTACGTGTTTCCACTGAAGGCAGTAGAAAGTGTTCTGTTAGGGGGATACTGTTTTGGCCAATCTTGGTGAATAAGCGGATTTGCACAGTAGAGTTAAGAAAGAGAGTCCAGTTAGTGTGATACAGAATTGCTGGTCACACTGGTTTCTCCAGCTTGTTGGTTGTTCCCAGATGTCCTCATTTGGAGATGCCAAAGATAGCAACCACTGGGTGTCAGCTGGGTGTCAGCTGCCCAGCCATGTGACCTTGTCTTAACTGGCAGAGTCACTTGCAAGTCATTTGCAGCCTCCTCCTAGCCACTGGCCAGCCTCAGTGTTCCCTGCTAATTCTTGATTTTCTGTTTGCATGTTGCAGTTCATTTCACAAAATATATGGAAGTAGCATTTACTACTTGTGACTTTACCCTAAAGAAGAAATTTTCTTTCAGAGCACTTCAAAGCCTACTCTAGGTTTTTGAATTAGTTTTGGAACCACCTTTCAACTAAGTTGAGGAGGCCAGTAATTTGGAGGTCTTTTTTTTTTCCAGGTACTCCTTTCCATGTTTTTCAGCTATAATTTATATAACCAGTAAGCCTAACTGATTAAGTCTCGGTATGAAATATAAGCAATAGCAGTTACATTCCTGACAGGGAAGCTAACTAAAGCTCAAAGATATTAAGTCAGAGATACGAAAATGAACCACAGATCAGTCACTCAGCCGGAAACAGAAGTCTTGTTGAGAATGGGGATCCTGTGATGTGATCCATACAGCCTCTTTTCCTGGTCAAACTTTAGTGGTTGGGATAACAATGCATAAAGAAACAATAAACTATAAAACACTCCTAGAAGAATGGTTTAGGAATCTGATCATGCTTCGGTAAATGCTAGCACCTGTTTTTCTTCTGCAAAGGAGTAAGAATTTCTCTCTCCAGTGCTTTTGCTCTGTGGCTTGTTCTGTTGCTTTGCTTTTGTTTTTTAATTTTATTATTTCAAGTTGCTTGTTAGGAATGCTCTGTGAAGTATATTTTGGAATTCAGTAATGCCAGTATCTGAAATGATCCATTCATATCTTAAAATATTCAGAGAATTGTATTCTTGTTATTAAAGTTTCACAGTAAACAAAACACACTTTTCTGTTTTAACTGTAAAAAAAAAATTTAGCCCATAATTTTTGAGCTCAGTTGTGTTTCTTAGCTAGGGTTTCAGGAAGCACATTTTCCACGAGTACCAGTAGGTGGTTTTACTAGGAAATTGTTAGGTTTGATATTTTATAGGAGGGTTTCAGAGGGCTTAGTAAATGACTGATACTTTTTTTCAGATCTGTAGATGTATTACCCCCAACTGTTTCTCCTAACTCTTAATTATAATCCTCTTTCCTCCATAGCTACTATTAGCCTTTTTAAAAATGCTAACAGGAAGTAAAAATTGTGTGCCATTTCAGCCAGGTACAATATTTATTGCATTGACTGTACAGGAGTTCAAGTAGATGTCACCTCCTTGGGAGTTTTTACCCTCAATCTTCTGTGTGTGTGTGTGTGTGTGTGTGTGTGTGTGTGTGTGTGTATATATATATATATATATATTTGAAGTACCTCAAATTCTTTTAAAAATAGAATTAAATCCTCAATGAATATTCTAGAAGTTCCAACTTAGTAACACAAGTCCCTGACTTCTAAACCTGGTAAGGGATATTGAATCAGTCCCTACCTTAAAAGTTTTCAGCCTACTGAGGAAGTCAAAGACATAAACAAATGTCATAAATGTTTGGGTAGAATAATACAAATAGTATCCAGCAAGACACAAAGGAAAGAGGTTGGGTCTCAAGAAAATGATGTTTGTATTGAGTCTTGAGAGAGGCTTAGGGAGGGTATGAGAAAGAAAGTTAACACAAGGGAAGACATGATAAACAAGAACTTAACAAGGCCCAGTTCCAACTTTACCACTGGCTAACAGCATGATTTTGGATATTAGCCTTCAGTGTTGTTATGCTTAAAACATTGCATCAACTTGAGATGTTTAGAAGTTTTAAGAGGCTCAGCAGGGAGCCAAGATCCTTACTTTGTAAATATCCTTATCCTGTGTAAGAGGAGGGCACAGAGATTTTATGCCTCTGCCTAGGGAGTGTGGGGGTGCCCTGCATACAATATAATGGAGGAGAGGCTTGCTCTTCACCCCTTTTTGTTTTAGTTGCTTTTGCTGGCTGCTGCCTTGAAGAGTTGCCCAGGTGCCATGCCACCCTGCCTTGCAGCCAGCTGATTATGGAGGACTGAAACCTCCACAAACAGTGAGCCAAATAAACCTTTCCTTCCTTCATTTTGTGTGTTAGGTATTTTGGCCCAGCAGCAAGAGAAAAGTAACCAAGACAAATGTTCATTATTGGAAAGGATGGCCCTCAAGTCAGGCTGATTTAGTCACTTTCTCCTTGCTGGGACAACATACCTGACATCTACAACTTGAAAGAGGTTTATTTTGGCTCTTAGTTTCAGTCCATGGTCTACTGTTTCCAAGACAGATCAGATGCAGGATGTAGAGGGGCACAGCAGAAGAAAAGGTACTTAACCCATAGCAGCCAGACCAGAAGAGCTGGGGACAAGATGCATCCCTTCGGGCCACAACTGCCCCCACCAGACTCCACCTACATTCAGCTCTGAGCTATCAATGACTGAATCTGCTGAGGAGTACAGCATCCAGGATTCAATCACTTTCCACACATGAGAATTTGGAGGGAAATTTTAGATATAAATCACAATCGCTAAAATCTTTACAGAACAGCAGCAGCAACAACTCTCAAATCATCTGTAGCCTCCTTATGAAAAGAGATGACCGTGAAAAAGAACTGTTTTTAACCATGAAATTTTTCTTTCTAGAACCTGCTTTTTAATTTTAATTTTAATTTTATTTATTTATTTATTTATTTGGTACCAGGGATTGAACTCATGACTTTACATTTGCCAGGCAGGTGCTTATGCCACTGAGCTAAATCCCCAGCCCTAGAACCTGTTTTTTATATAATTTAATGACCACAAGTTCTCTAGTATGCTACAGGGACATCTCACTAAAGGCCTTTTTTTCTTTTTAAATGTATTCAGGCTTCTCAGTGTTGATGTTTTGCTGTCATCAACATATATGCAAACCTCAACATAAAATACTTATTACATAAATGACCACAGCCTTAAGGAGCCAGGTAGGGTCCAGGTGCAGGCAGGATGCCTCTCTGTGACCTTCAAGTTTGCTTCAATCCCAGCCAACCTCTCATGGCTAAAAAAATCATTTGAGGATAAGGTCACGTGCCATATTGAAGGAGATTATGAAATAACAATGTTAAAACCTCATGCAATTATAATGGTTCACAACAATATTTCCTTCTCTTTGAATCTTTAGGGCCACAGGCTGACTGCCTTAGTTTTGTCCTTATATTTTTACCCAGTCTTCTTGCACAGAGAATTTGAGGTGTCTGCCATTATGTGAAAAGTGTGATCCAAGTGGCAAAAAATTAAATCAATTATGTAATGACGAGTAGACTCGGAGAAAACAGAGTAGAATTAGGAGGTCTGAGGGGAGGCCAGGGATTTAGCTTAGCGGCATGAGTGCCTGCCTGGCAAGCTTGAGGTTGTGAGTTTGATCCCCCAAAAAGAAGAAATCTGAGGAGAAAAGAGAATATGCAAATAAGCAGGTTGTAAAGGGCTGTGGTTCTTAAAACTGAGCCACACATTAGACTCTTGAGTTTTGTCACTAGCAAAATAAAAAGAATAATTACAAAGTTGTTGACCCAAGGAAGTAATGTTTGTTGAAATTGCCTTTGGCTTCCTGTTGGCCCTGACTGTTGAGCTCCACAGCCCAGGCACTTATTTATCGTCAGTATTTTCTTCCAGGAACAATGAATCATTCTTTCCAGGACACTGGCTCTTGTGGCATACACGAAGATGGAAAGCTGTATGTCGTGGATTCCATAAACGACTTAAACAAATTCAACCTCTGCCCTGCCGGATCGCAGCATCTGTTTCGTATGTGTGTCCCCATTAGCTTGTCACCCCTTCCTGACCTCTCAGCTGCCTAAAAATAGCACAAGCCAGCTTGGCTCTGTGGGTGTGGTGGGAGCAGGGCTCACTGCCACTAGCAATAGTGTGGCACTGGAAATGGCATTTGTCATTAGGCAATGGCTTTTGTCCTCTGAGCACTTCATAGGATTAGGGTCTTTCTTGGCTCCTAAGCAAGTTTTGAGTGCTTGTCTTCAGAAATTCTGAGAGTCCCATGGGCTCTCCGTCCCCAGGAAGGTGTGGAGCTTGCAGAGCTGGACTCGGAGGCTGGCTTGGCCCTCTTGGCTGTGCCTGTGCCTGTTGGGACCACAGCTAGGTCCCCACCAGTGCCCACTTTCCTCCAGGGGTCTTGTTCCATCGTGGATTGATGAGAAAATTCTCAACATGCTCACCACATTTTTTTAAATATTAAAATTCTACTGGAGAAAACCCCTTCATTTTCCACTTACAAATTTCCCAATCCAAAGTGTAGAAAACGTGTGTGTGTGTGTATAGCACAGATCTATTAAATACTAAATATGTATCTTGCTCCCTAAATACTATAAATAAGTTCTGTCAGATCTTGCTGATCTCCATCTCCTCTAGTCAAGCCCTGGCACTTGGATGTAGCTTGTCTACTTGCCACTTATTTCAGATGCACTCAAACTCATTGTCCCTGTCATTCACCTTCTGAATTCATGTTTTTCTTGTCATTTTAATGAGTTCAGATCTTCACCTGTTTTTATTGCAGTCATACTCAATAAAAGTGTTTAGATACTATTTCTGTGCTTAGGAAGTAAGCTGTTGAGAGTGTGGACGGGGGATGTACTGAGTAGGCATGGGACATAAGCCACTCATCAATCCATAATCAATCTGTGTGATTAGGGTATTCAAACAAGTAATTCATTGACCTTTGTTGCCCAATCTGACAGTAATTAGGCATGTAGGCGTCACAAAACAGGGACTTGATGCAGACAATTCAGTTTGACGAACAAAGAAGAGAACCTTGCTTCCAGAGCATTTCCTTCTGGAAAATAAGCTTATGATACCAAAGTACAGCAGAGCCTCTTGTTTTTATGTATGTAACTGTACTTTGAGAATTTCTGTAATAAAAAGAGATTCTGGTGATACTTCCAAGTACTCAGTCCTTACCTAGGGAAGGTGGCCCTCACCCCGCTCTGTTTTGCTCCTGAGTTTCTTCAGGAACAAAACAAAACAAAACAAAACAAAACAAAACAAAACAAAACAAAACAAAACACCACAGAGATTCTATCACTGTTTTCACTTCTTATTCCCTCCCCAAGAACAAAGCATGTTTTGCTTCTTGAGTAATAACACAGTCTTCAAAACACGTTCTGAAGAGGTCTAAGGAGGTGGCTTAACCCTGCTCACTCTTTGAATACCAATATGGAAGACGATAAACAGTTCCAAAATGTTTTCTTGTCCAAAGGCATTCCTAAAGCATAAGCCACTTTCCACGTTGCCAGGCAGAAACTGCATGTATTCATGACTCATATCTCTCACAATGGGATGCTGCCTGCTTTTGCTGCATGCTAATGCTGTCGTTTTTCTTGTTGTTTATCTCCTGTTAGCTCTAGAGGAGAAGGCCCCAGGCCTTGGCACTAATTCAGGAAACGGAAGCCGGAGTCTGTTTTTCATGGGGCTGCTAATTGTGCTGATTGTCAGCCTGACACTGGTTTTCTTCGTGATATTCCTGATAAGTAAGTACTCACCTACTTGAATGGAGTTACTCCTAGCTGGTTTGCATAGATGGTTTCACTTTGCTTCTGGAGTCTGCTTTCTGGCCATCAAAGCTTCTCAAAGAGGGATGAGTGAAGGTTTGAGTGAACCCCTTTGCTGGAGGATGGGGTCCCTGGAGCCCAAGCTGACTGCATATAGCTATAGTGCCAGAAGGTCACGAGCACGGATGTTAAGTATTTATACAATACTTTATTTCTTCCTTGAAGCACTTAGCTGCTACAGGACAGACAACATATTCTAGTGATTTCTGGATTTTCTTTAACCAGAACACAGATTTTTCTATTGCATTCATATGGTCACCAATTCCCTCCTCAGTTTTTCATACTTCATATTATCCCAGAAATCAGTTTGAAGCACCTGAAGGCTTATGAAAAACACTAGAAGAAAATGACGCTGGGTATGTGACAGTGGTGGCACTCGCTTGCATGACACGGTCCAGGCTGGTGTCCTGCTTCTGATATAACCTGACGTGTCACCTCTTGGCAGAGTGTCTAACCTGTGGATTGTGACCTGGCCATTCCCACATCAGCACCTCAGCCTAGAGATCCCCTGGACTGTCAGCACCATCTCCTCTCTGCCTTGGATAAGGGGAGGGGTGTGGTCACTCTGTGGTGCTGTCCTCACTTGCATGTGGCCCTACAGAGCCCATATGTTTCTCTATCAGCTCCCCTGTGTATTATAATCTACAATTTCCATTCTCTCCCAAATCACTTAGAAATACAAGGAACCTTAGGGCCAGGAGTCATCTTTGAAATCTGCACTAATCAGTGTTCTGATGCTTGGATATAATATCTGATACCTGTTACTTAAAGGAAGAGAAGTTGGTTTTATCTCACAGATTCAATCCATGCTTGGCTGGCCCCATGTTGGAAAGGTGTTGAGCTCTTTCTAGGTGGCTGGAAGCAGAAAAGCAAAGAGAGCCAGAGAGTGAAGACAGGGGTGGGGGAGACAGAGACAGAGTCACAGAGACTGGGGACAGATACATCCTTCCCAGTGATCTGCTTCCTCCAATGAGGAGATGCCTGCTAACCGCACATTCAGCTATGAGCTCTTCAATAGACTAGTCCTCTAATGAAATTAGTGCCCCCGTGAGCTAACATCTTCTAAAAGCCCCACCTGGAACACATGTGCCCTTTGTGGGGTGTCACTGATCCAAACCATAGCAATATCCTTTTGTGACCCTGGTGATCTTTCATGTGTCATTTCTTCTACCCTTTCCCGCTTACCTAAATGCACATCAGAGTGCACATCAGAGTCCTGAAACCTGGGAATAGGCCTCATTTTGGCTCATTCCAGAGCAGATGAGGTGGAGGTGGTGATGGTCACAAGAGGAGAGATGCGGACAGACTGCTTGGTCCTTGGTCTAACCTCCATTACCTCAGACTTGGTGGTTGGTGGGAAAGGGTGACATTTAATTGCTTGTCTCTAATCTTTGAAGCCCTTTGGCACAGAGAAGCTAACATGCGAACTGTCCTTATAAGAACAGAGCTTGCATTAGCTGTCAGTGGTGTTGGAGGGTTGGTTACTGAGGCCGCAGGGCCAGGAAGAGCACATGGGTCAGTCTTCTGAAATGTTCCAATGAACACTCATGCTGTGCCTGTCACCCTGCCATGCAAGCCTAAGACTGGAGAGCCAGGTCACTAGTAGGAAATTCTAGATATGTCAATAGATACCAAGGTAACCCAAAGCAAAGTCTGCCTTCAATGGGAGAGGTGACAAGATGAAGTGAAATGATAACAACAACTAGCAAATGTTCACTTGTTCATTTGTTAAAAACTTCGTGACAACTGTGTAGTGTAGGGTCTGATAGGTTCAACCCCATCTGTCCCATACCACAGCTGCTCGAGTCCCTGGAATGACCTGAGCCTGGGCCACAGCACGTACTCCTGCTCCACCTGCTGCCTCATGGCACACCTGTGACAGAACATTAGCTGTTGCTATGGCCACCTGCACAGCCATCCTCCTTCCCCCAATCTCACCCCCCACAACCCTACCCATCAAAGACCCAGCTCAATAAACTTGACTTGAACTCTCCTTTGGTGTGACTCCAGGGGTCTCACCTGGAACCCTAAATTCAGGTTGGCTGTGTTCATTATCTAACCAGATCTATTATCATCGTCCTGGATTAACAATGCCGAAATGGAAGCCCCGCATGCTCACAATCACATAGCCAAATCCAGCCTCAAATATGCTGGCTGACCTCAAACAGCACATACTTTCTCAACATCATTCCGTTCCTCTTGTTTGAAGAGGATTTATTTCAAATTTGCCCTGGGTGACAAGAAAGATGATGTGCATAAGGAATGTCTTTGTATTAAACACGAGTGCCTTGTGCCAGACTCATTAATTCCTAATTCCACTCCTTGAAATGGTGTCTGATATTTTTATTATACTCATGAAAGACTGTGCCCTAAGAGTTTTTTCCTCTACATTCCTGGGTGCAGACCTGGGACTCAAAGCACGGCCAGCCCAGCTCCAGAGCTCCAATCTGCTCCTCTGCCTGGGTTGAACTAAGAACAAAATCTACTTGTGGTTTTCAGATAAACCTTAATCTTGCCTAGGAGCCAAGTTGGTAGAGTGGGCTTCAGTGCCAACATTGTACTGAAGTCCACAAACCTATAAACTCTGACATTTATACACAAGAGAAACAAGAATGTTTGTACTGATCACATTTTTATCAAACTGCCAGGTCTTATATTTTGTCATAATCTGTGTGCTAACGAAGAATAATGGACAGTAAGAACAGATCACTGTGGCTGCCTGTCTGCCCTGGGCAGCAGAGTGACCAAGCTGTGTGTTCCTTAGGATACCAGTTCTGTAGCATGAGTGCGCTGGCCTGCTAATCTCAGTGTATTTCTTTACTTCATATGACTCTTCAGGGCCAGGTGGATATGTAATTTTGCTCTAACATTTTTTTTTTTTTGTACCGGGGATCAATTTCATGACCTTGCGCTTACCAGGCAAGCACTTGAGCCACTGAGCTAAATCCCTGGCCCTACTCTAACATTTTTGTGCATTGTACACATTCTTTTCATAGAATTTGTTTTAGGATTAGTGTATTATGGAGTAGACTTAGGTAAACATGATTGCTATTTCCTTCTGGGCTTGATCAATGTACTAGTGAGTCCCAAGAGGGGAAATGATTTCCCATGGCATGGGTTCACACTTTTTAAGAGAAGGAAGTGGTGGGGCTGGGGATTTAGCTCAGTGGCATAAACGCCTGCCTTACAAGCAGGCGGTCGTGAGTTCGATCCCTGGTACCGATAAAAATGAAAAAGAAAAAAAAAAGAGAGAGAGAAAGAAGTGGTATCTATCACTCCCTACCTGAGCAACAAACTTTAATAAAGTTCTTTCTCCCATATCCTGGACCATGTCTCATCCAGCAGGATTTTTCACACGTGAGGGAAAAGCAAAGGCTGGTCCTATTTGTCAAGGCCGGGAGGTGAACCTCTAACATCTGGTTTACTTTCCTGTGTTAGTTTAACAGCTAAGCCCAGTAGCATGTTGCCAACACCATCAGCTCCTGAAAGATAACCTTATAGAAAACTTGCCTGAAGTGGAAATGATAAAGCAGCTCAAATATAAGGCACTGGTTTGAGACTGCGTTTCTTGGAAATTTCAGCTCTGATAACCAGACCTGCAAGACTTCCATTCCCTAATTGCCATACTCCAAGGGTTCTGTTTAATTGGAAAAACAAATATTGGGTTCTATTCTCAGGAGAGGTGTGAGAATTACAGTCACACATTCATCCTGGGCCAGCAATTCAGAGCCAGCAGACACATCAAAATAGGCCAGAGTCCAAAGAATGTCATTTTCAAATGATGACCTGAGGTCCTTTTCTGTCACTGGGACTAAGATAAGATGATATGACAATCTCTTCTGGGGAAATAAAAGAAACCTTGTCTTTCTCAGCCAAATCAGAAGACATGTCTTTCTTAGCCAAAATCTGTCTGGAGCTGCCAAAGGTGGTCTAGGCTGGCATCTGGAGGTTATAAAATAATTAATCTTCACAGGTTTCTCTCTCGGGCCTCTGGGATACCTGCTAATGGTGCCTCTGAGTACTCAGCTAGAGCCAATGCTCATTTTCTGGTAGGAGCTCAGCAGGGCACCCTGCACACTAGTGTAACACGGTCTCTTTTCCATTTTGAAGTTCAGACTGGAAACAAGATGGAGGATGTGTCGCGGCGATTAGCAGCGGAGGGAAAGGACATAGATGACCTGAAGAAAATCAACAGTATGATCGTCAAGCGACTCAACCAGCTGGACTCTGAGCAGAACTGAAGCTGCTAAATCTGGAGCTTTTTACTTTCCTGGGAGAGCACAGGGTTAAGGACCGAGAAAGTGCACTTCGCCAGGCAGTGGATGATCTCATCAGCAAAACCAAGTCTGGGTCAGGGCTGTGAGCAGCTCCAAGGCAAGCAGGGTTGGAGCCAGCAGCTGGAAAGGGGCGAACTTAGCCTCATTTTCTGGTAGGGTACTTCAGCTTGCATGGGGTTGGGGGGTGCCTAGCATGGGGGTGAACCAGCAGAAAGCAAGCGGGTCCTGTCACATACAACGTCTCTTTCAAAAGAGCTCGGTCTAGAGTTCGCTGTGCCAAGGAGGTCCACGGTACCTCCCACACCTTTGCAGGTTCCTGTGAAAGCCTTCATAGCAAGTCGGGTGGGCTTCATTGCAAGTTGCGGCTGTGAAGTGATTGCTGGTGGAAACATAGGTGCTTGTTAGGGCTACCGGGCAGGCCAGGGATCAACAGAAAAGCTGAATTAATTCAGCCAACGTTTATTGAGCCTCTGCTTGTGCAAATCACGCCTCTTTAGGGGAGCTCACCTGTAAGTGTGGAGGAAGAAGACCCATATGGCATTAGATAAACCTTACTTTCTCATGAAGGAAATGTTCCCTTAGTATCCTTTTCATTGATCTGGAGTAAACACAAAATATGGTATGTACCTATTTTCCCACTCAAACATCTGTACTGCATGCTTTTTTTCTTAGACTAGATAGCAAGGCAGAACATTTTTAAAATCTGAAATTTGTGTTCACTGAAAAATTCTTATTGATCTGTTGATAAAGTATTTATTTTCAGGGCTGTAAAATTGTCTCAGGTGCTACCAGGGATTTGATGTAACAACTCTAAAAATTTCTACTTCTTTCTGTTTGCTCTTATGACACTTTTTTCCCTTCTCAACTTATGCAGTGTACATATTTAATGCTGAGGAATAAATGCTGAATAATAAATGATTCATTATGAAGGATTTGTGACTCTAACAGCACGAAGTGTAGTGGGGAAGTCCTTCAGTCTGTTCTTTGTGACTCCTTCTGTTCATTTTGGCCTGCATTGCCCAGCCGGAGGGATAGTGACCCCTCAGACCTGCACAGCTTGGGAAATTCTACGTTAGCTCCTGGCTTTTGGGCTCACAAGTTAACATTTTCCACTGAGCATATTTACAAGTATTAGATGAGTACCCGCAGTTTTGTAGAAATCAAATGCAGAGGCTAAGAACATGTGTGGGAATCCAACTTCCTGGTTCAAATCCTCGTGTGATTACTTACTGTGACTTTGGGAAAGCTAAAATTGGGTGATTATAAAATCAATTTTGTAGTATTGTAAGGCTTAAAAGAAATGGTATGATAAGAAAACAATACCAAAAAGAAATAATAACAGCATTAGAAACAATAAAATGCAGGGTTACTATAATTTTTATTGCTAAAGGTAGTACATGTGGCATAATGGAAATAAACTGCTGCAGCTCAGCCTTCCTCTGAGGACGCAGGGCCAATATTGCTTCTGTGGTGCTGTTTATGATCAGGACCACTGCTGTCCTCTCCTCTGAGCCAGGCTGGAGGAATGAGGGTACTTCAGCAGAGTAACTCATGTTGCAAGAAGTGATCATACGAGCAGGAGGGTTTAAGATTGATCACATGTGTGGGGCTAAAGCAAGGCCATCCCTGAAAACAAGCTACCTAAACAGCTCCAAGAAGGCAGGGGGCCCAGGCCAGCCAGGCAAACAAGTTGCTAGGCAGAGGGACTGAAGTTGACATCTTCCTCTTGAGTGTATAAATAAACATGTCATGGCGGTTGTGCAGTTCATTCTCTCCCATCAGGAGAGTAAGGGCTCACCTGACCTCAGCTTTTATCTCATTTATTTTCTCATCCCCTTGTGGTCCTTCACCCCAAGAACCTCAAGAGCTGCAGAGACCCACATTTTCCTTCTTGAGATGGAGTGGGGAACCTCTTTTCCCTGGACTGAGAAATGATTAGACTTCAGGATGCAGCAGGAGGAGGGAGCCCCTCCATTACAGGCAAGGGAAGAGAAACAAAACCGAAGGGGCTCTACCATACCGACCTGACTTGTCCTGATCGGAAAAGAAAGCTTTGCAACATTTTTGGACTTCGTATTTGTTCAAAGGAGGCTAAGAAAGACACGTTATTCTCATGCTGCATTTTTCCTGCATATTGCTCTTGATGTTGCCAGGCATGTGGGAAGGGTTACAAACACCTGACCCAAAGTCCAAAGGCCTCTTACAGATTGTTTCCCTGGGTGACTCTCTGTAGTGAGCCTGGCCTAGTCGTACCCACCACTCTTGGTTGTGACATCCGGGGCTATGGGGGAACCAGGAGGCCCCATCTTCCTAGAAAGTCTGGGCTGCACCTTCAGCAGTACAGGGAACTTGTCCCTGGTGACAGACCAGGGTCATCTGGCCAGGACTCCATCAGAGGACACCAGGCTTCAGTGTCTTGGGCAACTGCCAAGCAAACCAGGAGGTTTAAAAAGAGCACAAAACACTTGTATTATTTTTGCTACCAACAGCTTGTGGAAAGAGGAAGAATTTTGGTGAGTGTGTCATTTGGATTGCACTGTCTTGGAATTTATTGCACAGACTATCGTGTTATTACATTTTATTGCTTAGCAGAAAAATTTTTATGGGAAAAAAAATCCCCTTGAGTTGAGGTGTATAAAGTAATTTTATTGCAGTTTAAAATAATGGCTCTATTTATATTCAGTAGAGAAGGATGAGCAAAAGAAATATATCATCTGCAAAAGCTGATCATTTATCCTCTCTGGAAATGGGTTGGTCCAAAAGGAGCTGAGAAAACCAGAAAGAGCCTTAGAATTGTAATGTTTCCTCAGTCAGCAAGTTTATCCACACACACAAAACCAAACAAAAAACAGAAAACAAACAAGCAAAACCAAAAAAGGCAACCCCCAAAAAAATAAAAATGTTGTGCTTGGTATCTTCTGGACTATTTTTACTTGGTAAAGGATTCTTAGTATACATTTTTCCCCCATAGGGAGAACATTGCTGAAAATGTAATTCTACTTTTTATAGGGATGGGAAAATTTTTGAAAAGCAATTCAGAGCAAACTTCATTCTAGTTCACAAAGGGTTAAGGTGGTGTGCTGTGCCGGGGAGTGGGGGCCGCACCAAGATACCCTATTGTTGGGGCAACACAGGATGCAGAGACAGTGGGCAGCTCCAGAGGGTCCTCGTTGTGCAGGGAGGCTGGAGTAAGAACCCAGTAACGTGCCATAACTGTGATCCAGAGAGAGCAGCTTCTCAAACATCCAACTCAGCATCGCGTGGGAGGCTTCACAAATCCCTCATTCTTGGACTCAGGGCTCCTGATGGGCAGGCATGGGGTAGGATAGGGAATTCATTCTTTAGAAAGCTTCCGTGAGTCAGACGTGGGTAGTGACACATCCCTCTTATCTATTTGGAGGCCGAGGCAGGACGGTTTCAAGTCTGAGGCCAGCATGGAAAAGTTAGTGAGATCTTACCTCAGAATAAAAAATGAAAAGGGGTTGGGGATACACACACACACACACACACACACACACACACACACACAGAGGCAGCCGTCAGGGTTCTGGTGCTGTTCGGGTGGCTGGACAGAAAATGGATTTGTAGTGGATATGGATCCAGATTGTGGTTCTACATGTTTGGCCTTGAACACAATCCTCGGCTTCTGACTTTCAGGCTATTTCTCTGTAATAAAAGAGGGCAAAAATATGGAAATCGATAGAAAGTCTTCATTCTGCTGTTCACAGTCACTGAAAAGGTAAATGAACTTGAATTGTATGCTAATGGTGGGAGTGATGTAGGAACATTAATGATCTCTCATCCAGACTCTCAGATGTCTTCAGAAGAGCACACAACTTCCTTCTTCACCCCTCTTCCTGTCATCTTCTGTCCCCATCTTGGACTTTCCCTGTGTCCCGAGCTCCTGTGTGGGCCCTGGCTGATGCACCAGCTCACGCCAGGTATTTTTGCAGGGTGGCGGGGGCTCTTCTGACAGCAGAGTTGGATGCTGGCCCTGGCTCTGTGGTGGGGAGGGGGCTGACAAGCGGCCAGAGGGGAGCCCAGAAGGTTGACAGGGGCAAGGCAGGGGCATTCAGGGCCATGCAGGGTGGGTGTACATTAGGATCACCTGCCCACACCAGTTACACAGGAAGCCAAGCCTTGGTTTTGAGTGGAGGCCTCTCATTGCCTAGGTCTTCATGAGAAGACATTTTGTAGGTCCTTGAGTAGGAGAAGATGCTCCCTGAAGACTGAGAACCTGTGGTCCAATGTCCCTCATCTTATGTAACAGGTTAGACTTTCCAACAATTCTACTCTTAGCATGAGTAGGATAAAAATATCATCAGCCTCAGAATATTCACCAGTAGGTCAAATGAAAGCAGTAACAGTCATACAGTACGAGACGAATTCACATCTCAGCAGTGGAGGACAGAACACTGAAGCAAGGGCGGCTCCACCTCGGTGCAACCCGGGCAGCCTTTAAAATGGTGGAGAGGACGCGGCCTGTCTCACGTTTAGTTTGGCTTTCTGTTTGCAAAAGACTCAGTGTAGCAAAACTTGTGTTTCCCCTAAATTTCCTTCACCCCGGAAGAACAAACAAACAAAAAACCAAAACTGACAAACAAAAAAACCCTGGATCTATAAGAAACCACATAATGGGCCAGAAGGAAACTTTTAGTTTTTATTTCTATTCCCTTCATGGTTGACATTGCCAGTACAATACGTAGGACCTTTCCTGCAGACATTTGCTTTGGGGCCACCAGAGCAGGGTGTGTGTGAAGGAGAAGAGGAACAGAGAAAGCTCACAGAGCCCGCCTGTGACCCTCTGGTATTTGAGGTCTTCACAGATGGTGGAAGACGTGAAATAGTTGGTGACAGATGCAGAATGAATGGCCAGCGAGGCACACAGAATGGAGTTAGCAGGAGGAAGGCCTGATCCTAATTTTTCTTTAGTTCTTGAGTTCTGTGACTCTCAAGTCCTCTTTTTCAGTTTTGAAAGATGATTCATTATTCATGCATGAATCCTCAAGGAAACAGATTGTGCCAAGCTTATTCCACTAGGAATATTCTTTCTGGAAGCAGAGTGCCACTGCCACAGAACATTTATTGTCTGATGAGCAAATGGAGCAGATCGAACAATTAAGAAAGCAGTTAATAGTTTATTATGCTTCTCAAACACTAAATAGATCTGCTTTTTCATACCCTAAAGTGATTTGTAATATTACTGGAAACAAACTAAATTAGAATTCTACTGTGCATCCTTTTCAGCTCTAGCAAACTTACTTAATATTGAGCTGGGTTCAATTCCTGAATTACTATTCATCCAGTTACGGGTTCAGAAACCATTTCTTATAACTCAGAAAGAAAGTGATGAAATAAACATTGGCAGTCTTTGGTGTACAACTGAAGGCCTCTTTAAAAAAAAATCACAATTGAGTACAGCTGGTAGAAAACCCAGGTTCTTTCTATATTATTTGTAGATGTTACAAAAGGGTTTTTGTCATTGTTTCCTATCAAATCAATGCAATCTACTCTTCCTTTGAGCCTGAAACTTCATAGGAACCTCCCAGGTTTTGCCTTGTGATTGGGTACTTGTGCCTTTTGAACAAGTTTCTTATCTGAGCATCTTGGGGGATAGTACACCACTCAACAGTGTGAACTGTTTATTAAATGAAGCCAGGAAGTGAGGGCAGGCCGCCTGCATTGCCTTTGATTTGCACTTGGACTGCAGTGGCGCTCAGTAATAGGGTAGGAGGGACACCTGGTGACAGCTGGCTGTTTCAGAGGAAAGAGGTCAGTGGGAAGAAAGATCAAGGAATAAAGCTCGGTGATGCGGCATATGTGATGGCCAGGAGCCGTGTCTGGAATAGCGGTCACCGGGCCAGAGGTCATGCAGACAGGGAGAAGACCGTGGAACGGAAGGGCCGGTGTTTGGGTCT